TTGTTATTTATTATGTTGTTGGGCTCCCCATCTCTAGCAATTTTGGATTGTTTTGCTGATTATGTTACAGTTTTTCTCAGCAACTTTGGTTCGTTTTTCACAACTCTATTTACATTTGCATAACAGTTAAAGCATTTCTCAAAACAATGATTCAATTCAATTCAAGTCAGCTTTATTTGTATAGCGCTTTTACAATGTAGATTGTGTCAAACCAGCTTCACATACAGTAAATGGTCATAGTAACTAGATCAGGGTAGTTCAGTTTTAAGTGTTTTAGTTCAGTTCAGTTTAGCTAAGTTCAGTGTGGTTTAAAATCATTACTGAGAGTCCAAACACTGAAGAACAAATTCATCGATTTAACTATGATTGTCATTTTTTTATTTTATATTTCATTAATATATGCTCTCCTACACAATCATCACAATCAATCTAAAATCATGAATTCTTTACAAGCTATTTAAGTCATCCGGTGCAATTGGATTTATATCACAATATATATTGCAGTGAATATTGAGGGTTTTTTTTTTTTATCGTGCAGCCCTAGTGCATATTGAACTCTGATATATGGCCATATAGGAACATATATATATTGTAGCTATAGCCTATAAAAATTATGGTTGGTGTATTTTTGGACACATACAGTTGAAGTCAGAATTATTATCCCCCATTTATTTTTCCCCTAATTTCTGAGAGAAGAACTGAGAGAAGATTTTTTTTCAACACATTTCTACACATAATAGTTTTAATAACTCATTCCTCATAACTGATTGATTTTACCTTTGCCATGATGAAAGTAAATACAATTTGATTGGATATGTTTCAAAACACTTCCATACAACTTAAAGTGAAATTTAAAGGCTTAACTAGATTATTTAGGTTAGCTAGGCAGATTAGGGTAGTTAGGCAAGTTATTGTATAACTTTGGTTTGTTCTGAAGACAGTCAGAAAAGAAATTAGCTTAAAGGGGCTAACAATTTTGTCCTTAGTTAATAAAAAATTTAAAACTGCTTTTAATCTAGCTGAAATAAAACAAATAAGACTGTCTCCAGAAGAAAAAAACATTATCTCACATACTGTGAAGATGCCCTTGCTCTGTTAAACATCATTTGGGAAATATTTAAAAAAGAAAAAAATCAAAGGGGGGCTAATTATTCTGACTTCAACTGTTTGTACAGTACATTTTTGTAATCTCACTAGTTGAAGAAAAGATTAGAGCTGGGCAAAAATGAATTGCGATAAATCGCATGCAAAATAAAAGTTTGCCATCATTTAAATGTGTGTACTGTGCAAATTTATTATGTATACATAAATACGCACATGCAAGAATACACTTCATTTGTAAAGGACATACATAGTAAAGTTTTAAAAACAAAACTTATTTCTATCGTGACACACACACATACATAAAAACTTAATACAAAATGATTTTGTTACAAAGATATTTACATTTTTATATAATTTGTATCAAAACAAACAAAATTGTAACAAAATTGTGTCAAAGCAAACCTTTATTTTGGATGCGAATCATGCGATTGATCGTCATTAATCTTTGCTCTAATTTGAAACATATTTGTAATTCCACTGGTTGAAGAATAAAATTTGTAAACGGTCATTTTTGCAATAATTCGCAGAATATTTAGCATATATGACATACTGTACAGTAATCAACATTAAAAGTCGATTAAAAAAAAGACTTTAATAATGATCAGAATGAGTGTCGTTCAGTAGTTTTTGGACAGCTTTGATGAAAAGTTTTGATCAAAGATTGTAAAAAAAAAATTATCCACTTCAAATAAACATTAATTTATATTTTATATATGTGAAATCCAAATATGGACTTGTACGAGTGATATATGTAATTTACAATGCCATATATATTTTAGGGCTAACTGCTCAACATACAAACTAAAGCCAAAATCAATAAAGTTAAACATTTTACAGTACACACACACAGATATAAATGCATGATTGCACACAAACCAAGCCTTTTCCTGGGTAAAATTGGTATTAATATTAAGAAATTTTGATAAGAATAAGAATAATCAATGGGCTAACTGATTATTCTATTCATATTAATACAAAAAAAGAACTTATTATTTGAGTTATTTGAGCTGAACATTAATTTAAACTCCTTTAACTTTGTCCAGTAGGAACAAACAAACGTATGAAATGCATCACTGACTTGCATGCATATTAATCAGCCAGTTATGCACGTATCCAAGTGAAGACAACAGAAGCTCAGCAACACACAAGATAAATATCTGCTAAGGTGTGCAAAAAAATTAGTAAATGCAATTACGCAAATTTCCCACAAAACCACCTCTGATGCATAATAATAGATATACATCTCCTGTAGAGTAGTGAATATGCAGTGCGTGTCTTACCGTGAGCAGATGACGCTTCCTTTCCCTCTGTGCTGTTGTGCCTCATGTGATAGTGAAACTCTTGTTAGACAGGTTGTCATGGACACCTTTAAACAAGGTTTCAAACCCTGCTATTTCATATGATCTTTACCGCCACCTATTGGTTTAAAGAGAATAACAAGAACCAGGGGGCGTTTACACACAAGTACAGAGCAGCAATGAAACAAAAAGACAGAAACGCTGAAGATTAGATAGATAGATAGATAGATAGATAGATAGATAGATAGATAGATAGATAGATAGATAGATAGATAGATAGATAGATAGATAGATAGATAGATAGATAGATAGATAGATAGATAGATAGATAGATAGATAGATAGATAGATAGATAGATAGATAGATAGATGGATAGATGGATGGATGGATGGATGGATGGATGGATGGATGGATGGATGGATGGATGGATGGATAGATAGATAGATAGATAGATAGATAGATAGATAGATAGATAGATAGACATGACAGACAGACACACAGACAGAAAAATGATAAGGCAGACATACACTCACTGGCCATTTTATTAGGTACACCTTACTAGCACCGGGTAAGACCGCCTTTTGCATAAAGAATTCCCCTAATCCATCATGGCATAGATACAACAAGGTACTAGAAATATTCCTCAGAGATTTTTGTCAGCTGCACACATCCTTGTTGCAAATCTCCATTCCACCACATCACAAGGGTGCTCTATTGGATTGAGCTCTGGTGACTGTGGAGGCCATTTGAGTACAGTGAACTCGTTGTCATGTTCAAGAAACCAGTCTGACATGATTCACGCTTTATGACATGTTGCGTTATCCTGCTGGAATTAGCTATCAGAGGATGGGTACACTGTGGTCATAAAGGGATGAACATGGTCAGTGACAATACTCAGGTAGGCTGTGATGTTGACACAATGCTTAATTGGTACTAAAGGGCCCATAGTGTGCCACGAAAACATCCATCACACCCTTACACCACCAGCAGCAGCCTGAACCGCTGATACAAAGCAGGATGGATCTATGGTGTCATGTTGTTGATACCACATTCTGATTCTTTCATTCGAATGTTGCAGCAGAAATCGAGACTCATCAGGCAATGTATCTAAAATCTTCTATTGTCCAGTTTTGGTGAGTCTGTGTGAATTGTAGCCTCAGTTTCCTGTTCTTAGCTGACAGGAGTGGCACCCGGTGTGGTCTTCTGCTGCTGTAACCCATCCACCTCAAGCTTGGACGTGTTGTACATTCAGAGATGCTCTTCTGCAGACCTCGGTTGTAACGAGGGGTTATTTGAGTTACTGTTGCCTTTCTATCAGCTGGAATTAGTCTGGCCATTCTCCTCTGATCTCTGGCATCAACAAGGCATTTGCGCCCACAGAACTGCTGCTCACTGGATATTTTCTCTTTTTTTTTTTGGATCATTGTCTACAATCCCTAAAAATGGTTGTGAAAATGCCAGTAGATCATCAGTTTCTGTAATACTCAGACCAGCCTAACTGACACCAGCAACCATGCCACGTTCAAAGTCACCTAAATCACCTTTCTTCCCCATTCTGATGCTCGGTTTGAACTGCAGCAGATCATCTTGACCATCTCTACATGCCTAAATGCATTGAGTTGCTGCCATGTGATTGGCTTATTAGAAATTAACAAGCAGTTGGACAGGTGTACCTAATAAAGTGGACGGTGACTGTAGACAGATAGACAGACAGACAGACAGACAGACAGACAGACAGACATAGATAGATAGATAGACAGACAGACAGACAGACAGACAGACAGACAGACAGACAGACAGACAGACAGACAGACAGACAGACAGACAGACAGACAGACAGACAGACAGACAGATAGATAGATAGATAGATAGATAGATAGATAGATAGATAGATAGATAGATAGATAGATAGATAGATAGATAGATAGATACTGGTTTTTCGTTGTATCAAGCTCATTATTATTAACATCAAGGCTACTGTGGCTCAACAGTGGCATCTGCTGGCCATTCCTGTTTTTGTTTTACCCCAATATTTGCCACAAATTGCCAGTACACCAAATATCAGCTAAATTGATAGTTATTTTTTTAAGGTGGGTATTTGTACATGTTACTTGTTTCTCTGTTCACAGTGCTATGCCAAAAGACACAGATGCTAATGCACTGAGGAAATCCCCTCTCTGAACTTATCACCTATATGGGCGTTTCCATTTTCTTGTGGGAATTGTGTCAAATCAAAACTAACCTAAAAGATGCTTTGTTGATTTTTTTTTTCTCTAACCTAATTATCTTCCTTTTTCCTCACTCGATCTCAAAAACCAATCTGACAAAGGAAGAACATCATAAGTGCTAAAAGGTCTAACAGTGTTAGGTTGGTCTATTATAATATAATGGGGTAAAGAAGCCATTGCATTGTATCCACTGAAACGAAGGAAATGATGCAATAGGAAACAGCCCTGTTCCTCTGGATTTCTGTCCCGAACAGATAAGCAGAGCACTTGCTAATTTTACAAGTAAAGAGGCAGGAAGAATGACGACAAAGTTTCCCTTTATGCAAACAAAACAAAAAAAAAAGGTGCCAGATTCCCTGAGAAATACAGTGAACAATTGCTGTAGGCTTGGATTGAGCATCTGACTGCATGTTGACGTGCATCTGCAAACCAGTATGGCTTCAAATGAAACAAATGCGCTTCAGGAAATGCTTAAAAATATTGATTTTGGTAAGAATCGTCATGCATTTGTTTTACTATCATTTTTTAGATGACATTTTTTTCTATTAACACAAACCGTGTGTCACTATAAGAATATTTTAAGATTTATTTTGCATTTGTGTTTTACCCAAAAATGTTTATATGCTTGTAAATGTGATTCAAATTGTAGTTTAACTAATTAATTTAATGCTAAAATCACATTAAAAACATGTTTGCTTCTCGTCCTCTCTTATTATATATAATCAAAAGAATTCTCATGCATTTGTTTCGCTACATCATGTTTAGCTACAGCATTGTCTATCAATACAAATCATGTGTCACTATAAAGATAATTTAAGATAGTTTTCTGTTATTTTGCATTTGTATTGTTCACAATTCTTGAGTTTTTTTGATGTTCAATCAACTTAAATTTGTAAAAAAAAACTATTGAGTTAACTTAATTCCTTCATGTTGCCCCAACACAAATTGATTGTGTGGAGCGAGGCATTTTTGCAGTGTCGATAAAAACTTCCAGAGCAGTACATTTATTCAGCTATTTAGAATGCTTTCTTATTTTATATAATCAAAAGAATTGCCATGCATTTGATTTGCTATCATTTTTAGCTACTGTACTGGGGTTTCTGCAGGTTTCACCAAGTTAAATTAAAGACTTTTTGTGACATTTTTAGGCTGTTATGAATGACATTTTAGACTTTATACAGTAATAAACGCTAAGATTTTTTTTTCAAACATCCCAGTCAGATATATATATATATATATATATATAGTAACTCAAATATATAATAACTGAACAATAAAAATGAAGGTTGGGTAAGTATCTTCAGCAGTAAATACATGGAGAACTTTTAAACAAATGTTATTGTAAGAAAAATAAACCATTATGGTAAATAGGATGTTTTACAGATTAAATAGAGTTTAAAATTCGTTACAGGTATTATTGAGATGGATCGTTGGTGATTGTTTGGGTGTTAATGGCCAGATTACTGACCAGTATTGAAATACAGTAGTATAGTGAAGCTACAGCACTGCACAGTAAAAAAACGAGGCATATTCATTTCTATTATTAAGCATATGTATTATTGTCAGCCACTTTAAACATTATAAATAGTTTGAACATTAACTGTGCTTGCAGGTAAAAAAAAAAAAACTTAAACATTTAAATTAAAATGAGCTTTTAAAAGTTAATTAAACATGTCAATGTTTTTAATGTAAAAAGAAAACTGCTGTACTATAATGTAAAGTATTAACTTAGTATCCTATTCATCCAAACCAGGAAATGTTGCTTGGGTGTTATAAATATAGGCTACATCTTATTCATATTTACACAATTTTTGATCAATTTTGAAATATATGTTGCATATACAAATGACATATTTGTAAAACCTTTTGAAATCGAAACATTAACTTGTATGTAGATTGCTAGGGAATCTGTTTTTTTTTGGAAGGATGTCAAGCTGACAAAACATTGCTGCACTCTGATACAAGTTTTAATCATGGAGAAAATTAAAAAGCACTGCAGTGTTTGGGTGTCCTGTGTTTGTCTAAGATAATCAGTCTACCGAAATTATATTCCATATAAAATGTGAAGCTGATTGGTCAGTTCTTGTCACATGACTCTCTGTGCGGCATTCTAAGAATGTCGAGATGTTTTCAACTGGGTACGCCTGAAGTATACAAGTGCGTTGCGCTGTCTACGCCTTCATTATAAATAATGAACTTGCATGTGGAAATGGTGCAATATGTGAACAGCCGCCATTATTTGCGATCTACCGCAGTTGACGAGTGCCGTTCTGTGGCCCGGGGCAACACTGCTCTAGAGTGTATCTGCTCTGCAAGCGCCACACACCTCTTTCTCTATTTCTGTGTCAGTTGGATTGAATTTATGCAGCTGATGACGAGATGAATTATAGTAAACATTCAAAGCACAAAGATTTGATCGTAGGCTTCAGATAACAGCCAATATTGATCACATCTGAGCTATTGTACGCATCAAATAATTAAAATTGTATAAATTATTCTTATTAAATTATTCCTTTACGCACCACTAGAAGTAAACCCCACAGTTTGAGAACCACTGCTTTATTTTATATAATCAAAAGAATTGCCATACATTTGTTTTGCTATCATTTTAGCTTCATCATTTTCTATCAATGCAAATAAAACATATTTTAAGCTTATTTTGCATGTGTATTGTGCCCAAATTGTTCATTTGCTTGTAAATGTGCTTCACATTATAGTTTAACTAATTAATTCAATGCTGAAATTAGATGAAAACTTCCAAAACACTACATTTTTCAACTATTCAGTATGCTTTGTTTTTTATGTAACTAAAATTATTGACCTTTCCATCCAGAGGAGCTCATCCTGGCATTCTGCTTGTCAATGTTAATCGGTCTGCTCATCGGGATCTTGATTTTCCTCCTCCTCACATGGATGTCAAGAACCAGAGCTTCGGTCAGGATGATCAGACATCAAACCCAGTCTTCAGAATCGAAAGGCTGTCACCTCAAACACTACAAGAGTCACGGCTTTGATAAGAACAGTGAATATGCTGGAAGAGCTGCTTTAAATCTGCACAGGCAAACGTCTGTAGACCCCAACGAGCTGCTGGGAAGGAGCCCCAGCTTTCAGAACTCCACTTTTCGGCCACCTGTAAAAAAGACTAAAAAGAGCAGCGATGAAATGGAGGATGATAATCAAGCAGCTTTACTTCCTAACATCACAGATCCATTTAGTATGGAGCCAGCTGAGTCCTTCTGGCTGGGGAAAGGCAGTTTAAGAGGTTTTCTGCCCAGACAGACTCCGCCACCTGCATATGACAGTGTCATTCACATCTTTCAGGAGACATGTACCTGACTGCAATGTGAATACAGACTATGGACCTGCGAAAAATTTTACATAAATCACAAAACATGGATTAACCACAACAAAAGGAGAGAAAATCTAACAGAAGCCTTGAGAAGGATCTGACTTACTTATTTGCATTACTAACCCTTTGCAATAAGGTGCCATTTGTTAAAGGGATAATTCACCCAAAAATGAAAATGTCCTTATTGTTTACTCCACATCAAGTGGTTCTATACTTCAATGAGCTTCTTTATTCTGTTGAACACTAAAATAATAAATTTTGACGAAAGTTGAAGACCTGTAACCATTGACTTCCATAGTACTGCCACAGAGTTTAGTTCCAGTCCTGCTTCAACACACCTCTTTAGGCATCAAACAAGCTTAAAGCACTCAATTGTTTCAATCAGGTGTGTTTAATTAGGGTTGGAACTCAAGCCGCTGTCACACTGGACTTTTCGTCCCACAGACTTTTATTCATACGCACACGAATGCATCAGTTTCGCAGTTTACTGCATTGCAAAGTTCAAGCTTGATGAACTCTGACCTGCGAAATCCCATCACGCGACTTCATGAGACTAATCAAAAATCAAAACATGACCTTTCTAAATGGAAATTTAAAATATGGACCAATCACTCGCTTTTTTAAACGTCTAATCATCTTGTTTAATCCCGCCCCTTTTGCTGCACCGTACAACAGAATATCGCATGCCCAACTCTAGTGTGACTGCGGCATAAACTGTGCAGAGCAATGGCTCTCCAGAAACTGAGCTCGACACCTGCATTAAATAGTATTAACAGATACAACTTTTTAATTTATGATTAAATGTTGAAATTAACATAAGCGCTTAACACAGTTTTAAAAAAAACCTTTTGTAAGAGGAACTAGTTTCTTCCACCGTTCATACACATCTGCAGCTGATGTCAGAGAAGCAGAAACTGTTGCTACTTCACCAACGTCACTTTAGAGCTAGTATTTGAATGATTCTCTAGCGTAATGTCTAAAGTGATGACAAAACAGGTGATTTTTCTGACATTTTAAGATTATAAGGTTGAATGGCATGAAATGCCATCAGTCAACAGAGATTTTCTAGTATTTCTCTGTTGCAATCAGAAAATCACAATAATTAACCCCGAAAAAGTCAGAGCAAAGCAAACACTACCAGATTACTATGGTGTAAATACACCACTAAAAATACAGAGAGAGATCGACTTAGAATGTCACTTACCTGTTCTGTAATGACTTGTTCAGCTGTAGTTTGCTGTTTTACCCCCCTACACTCTCAGAAATAAAGGTACAGGAGCTGTCACTGGCGCAGTACCTTTTCAAAAGGTATATACTTGTACCTGAAGGGTCCATAATGATACCTCAAATGTTCTTTAGGGGTACATTTGGGTACTAATATGCACCTTTTAGGTACCACTGTGGACTATTTGGTCTACAATATGTATCTTTTAAAAAGGTACTGCCCCAGTGACAGCTTCTGTATCTTTATTTCTAAGAATGTAAGGACTTCTGATGTGGTCTCTGTTGCCTTCTTGTTGCATAACATTAACCATCTTTGCTCTGCTTAGTATGCAGACATCCCATGTTGGGAAAAGTCATATTTCCGGGGGATACATAGTCCATTTGCGGGAGAGTGGGTGCTTGAAGAGCGAGGGGGGTGGGGGGGTTTGATTGGGGTTGTTTGAGCAATGTATCTGAAGAGCGGTGGGGGTGAGTTGCGAGCAACGTACATGAAGAGCTCAGAGGGATGGGGTGGAGAGGGGTGTGTGATATGTTTAAGGACTGGGCGGGAAACGCACCAGTTCCGGGAAATTATCATTCATTTGCGGGCATCAGGGAGTCTCTATGCATTTGCGGGATACTCCCACAACTTCTGGGAGACTTGGAAGGTCTGAGTATGACAGGCTGTCTGCCACGCTGACACTCAGAAAATATGAATATTTAAAATAAGCAGTATCCTTATAAATAAACTACATTAAAAAGCCTCAAAAGTACATTATGTTGTTCAACAGCTGTAATATTTGCCACTCGTGTGGGCGGAGTAATACACAAGGGTGAAGAGGCTGTACGAGTGCTGATACTACTTCAATATCTCACAGCTATCAGCCAATCGTTTTCGAGAACCAGACAGAACTGTTGTATGTGTGTGTGTGTGTGTGTGTTTGTGTTAATTAATTAATGTTAAAAAGGTTAACAAAAGGAACCTTATTGTGAAGACTTAAAAATGTTGAAATAACTGTAGTTATTGTAGTTACTGTAGTTTGCATTGCTTAAAATAAACCTGAGCTTTAATAATAACAGTTGTTTTAGTTTATCTGAAGAATTTTGTTATGAACTTAAGAACATTTGGTATGAACTTAAGTAGTTAAAATGAGAAATATAACAATAAAAATAGGCTGATGTTGAAAAAATAACCATATGTGTTATATTAAGTACTCAATTTTGCTCAATGTGACATATAGCTTTCTAACGGCCCATTCACGCGGGGCTTCAGCGTCAACACTTGACTGAAGGCGTGTCTGAAGTTGGGGCTAACGCGATCGTCATAGCAGCGTCAGCCAATGAAATTCCGTCAGCAAAAGGCCACTGTCTAGCTCAGGGGTGGGCAATCTCGGTCCTGGAGGGCCAGTGTCCTGCACAGTTTAGCTGCAACACTAATCAAACACACCTGAACATCCTAATCAGTGTCTTTAAGATCACTAGATATCAGGTGTGCAGGTGTGTTTGACTAGTGTTGAAACAAAACTTTGCAGGGACACCGGACCTCGAGGATCAAGTTTGCCCATCCCTAGTCTAGCTGGTGTATTTGCATACAGCAATCTGATTGGTTGACACTCCCATTGGCGCTTGAAAAGTTGAAAAAGTCATAACTTCTGCAGCGAGCAATGCCTCTGAAGCGGCGCCGAGTGTGAATGGGGCATAAGTGAAAGTGTAACTAAGTGTACGTTAAATTACTTTTAACCATGGTTACGAATTATTGCAAAATATATCATATTTATAAGCCACAATATGTACATGGTACTTGAAAATGATGACAATTTCATGGTAAGTAAAGGAATATGCTTATTTTAAATATAGCAAACCATGCAAACTAGGAAGAGCAGAAAGTACAGCAGAGTGCCTCTTGGGAATCTTTTCAATATGGTATTGTTCTGTTTGCCTTTCCTGAGATGAAAGCAAAATATCTCGCTTGAGTCCTCAGCCTTGCTGCAGTCTGTCTGGGCAAAGGAAATAAGAGCTGGTAAAAATTCCTTTTCTACAAACAGAAAACAACATGATTGCATGAATGGTCAATAATCCCAAAAAATAACTACAAAGCACAACACATGAATGTTCAGAAGAAAACTTCAACTTCAGTTATTTTTAGTGATAGCAAGAGACCAAACTTACCTTGAGCTCTGAGGTAACTATAGAAACAGCAAACGTTACGTTACATTTATAATAGGCATTCAGACTATTTATATTCTGACATTTAGCTATATAAATACACATTTATGTATCTAGACTGTAAAAGAATAGTGTGAATGTCTATTCTAATTATCTTATAAGGACGAAAAGGGACACTCTATGCATTATATACCAAAATAAACAAACAGAATAAACTCAAGACCACAATCCTGAAGCTTTTTGTTAGACACTTTCTGAGTTGCTATACATAGGCTACTAGTAACAATACTCTATTTCTTCTACGAAAATTGTAAAAATATCAGTGTACCAACTTATATTAGAACTAACGTCTTCTAACTGAATTAGTTTCATTTTTGTAGGAAAAGCTAAATAGAACTAAACTAAAAGCCAATGGAATTTAAACTCGTGCTGTGAAGCGTCATTTCATTGGTCGGGCAACTGAATCAATACGCCCCTTCGAATGAACAAATCTGTGTATGGATTTTTAAACTTAATATCATTATTAGAGCATTCAGGATGTCGTTTTTATACTTTACACAACGCTTTAATAGAACTCACACAACGGAAATTTGATCAGAAATAAAATACGCAGGTAAAAATCTAAATTTAGCACTTTCGTAAAACGGCTTATGTCGTAACCGAGTCGTTTGAGTGAACAATTCAATGATTCATTCACACCTGTCGCCATCTTGTGGCGTAAAACGATTCAGTTACATTTATTAAATGCAGTTGGTCATTTTTGTAGATTTTAAAATTTGCTTTAAAGAAAATCACAATGAAATTCGTATTAAATAGATAAACAGTGATAAAATGAACTAAACCAACTTAAATAAAAGCTGCAACAATGAATGACTTCTAACAATGAATAATCTAACAAATTAGTATTGTACCGTCTTTGATATTAATTTCAGTGAATCCAGCTGCATTATTGCTTCATATTAACCCGCATGATAATATAAGAGTGAATGTTAATGATTTAAATCAGTCTGGTTTGCCTCTGCACCGCATTTTGTGTGTGTGTACTATCTGTATGTGGTTGACAGTCACGTGATCAACAGCACCATTCCGTCAGAGCGCGGGTTGCCTTCGATTGCCAAAAAATCCCTCCTTCAAGGATTATTTTGCGCCACAATACAGCATCCCTCTTCGTGCCTTTAATGTTCAGCGGGGGTGAAAATCCACTGCGAGAATCTGGCAACCATTTAGACGCATTGAGAGCGAGTTGGTAGAGGTGAGTTTGCTGCTAGAAATGAATTTGTATGTTATTACTCAGCTGAGTTATTTAATCCTTAGCTCACGTTGTTTTCATCCGATTTCGTTGGAATATCACAACAATAGTCAATGCTGTATTCGTGATGGTTGTGCAGTTATATCACGAGTGTAGGTGGCAACCATAGTTGATGGATTTATTCATTATTATTTACTGCATCTAGTTTAAATACATTTATTACCTGACACAATTCTTATATTAGTATATTTATGAGTCTTAGGATCTGGCATCCCTGTATACCTATTTTATTTTTCAATATTGATTGTATTGTACTCTAAACACAGGATATTTCCTATATATTTTATCAATATGATGCTCTGTTGAGAACTGTTTATGTCAGAGATGAGATTAAATGCAGTGATGAAGAAGTCTCAGGCTGGGTGTCATTAAAATTCAGCCATCATCACATCCCTGTTGCCATGACGCCTGCGAGCTGCCTCATCCTTTAGTTGTGCAGATTTTTTTTTCTCCTGTATCTCTTTTGCATGCCTTTTTTGGACATATGCTTCGATGCACAATTCCTCTAGCGTTCATCTGTGTATAAAGCATGAATTGCAGGGGTCTTTGAACGTCCTGTGACGTCACGGGGGGGATCAATGTCAACTCAAGTGTGGGTGCAGACAGAGAAATTAAATGTCTTTAAATGATTCTGCATGCAGAGCTCGCCTCAACGGTGGCTTTGTAAGACACACGACTGTTTCAGTGCTACATCTTAAACTCATACATTTATATGTGTGTTTCTCTTTTTTTTTTTTTTTGCCTAGAAATGCTTGGACTGCTGAAGGCTGGTTTTGTATGGTGACTGAGGGAAAGCTACAGCGGGCCTTGACATTTGATTATTTTGTTGAATAAAAATAGGATAGGCTGTATTGCTCGTGCTGTGCTGTGGTCACAGACAATAATGGCCTGATTTTAGACACGCTCTTTCTTAAGACACATCTGCAGTCAGACATTGCTCTCGTTTTACTGCACATTTTTTGAATAAGCAAGCAAAATGGAGCACTCCTTCAAAGACCGGATTCGGACTAATAATGTCCAGGGACTATGAAGAGGTGAGTGTTTTTCAAATTTGTATTCTGATATGCATGAAAAGAAATATATATATATATATATATATATATATATATATATATATATATATATATATATATATATATATTACAGTTGTAGATTAATGTCAAATGGAATGGATGATACAGAATTAATCCATCTAAAAGTCATAATTTTTTAAATTCTGACTATTTTATGGTATTAATGAGACAGTTTATGAAATGTGTTGTATTTGTCACATAACGTAATTAATAATTGCAATTATTCTATGACTATTTTATGCATATTTTATGGTACTACTTGATACAGTTCATGATATATTTTGTATTTGTGAAATAACTTGTATTTATATGTAAGTGTATAATATACAGTTGAAGTCATAATTATTAGCCCTCCTTTGATTTTTTTCTTTTTTAAATATTTCTGATATGATGTTTAACAGAGCAAGGAAATTTTCACAGTATGTCTGATAATATATTTTTTTTCTGGAGAAAGTCTTATTTGTTTTATTTCGGCTAGAATAAAAGCAGTTTTTAATTTTTTAAACAACATTTTAAGGATAAAATTATTAGCCCCTTTAAGCAATATTTGTTTCCGATGATCTACAGAACAAACCATCGTTATAGTTATTGAACTTGCCTAATTACCCTTACCTGACTAGTTAACCTAATTAACCTAGTTAAGCCTTTAAATGCCACTTTAAGCTGTATAGAAGTGTCTTGAAAAATATCAAGTCAAATATTATTTACAGTCATCATGGCAAAGATAAAATAAATCAGTTATTATAAATTAGTTATTAAAACTATTATGATTAGAAATGTGTTGAAAAAAATCTTCTAATAATTCTAACTTTACCTGTGTGTGCCACTAGCATCAGTAAATTAATATAAACAAGTCGTGACAACTATTATTTCATTCATTTTCTTTTCGGTTTTGTCCCTTTATTAATCTGGGGTCGCCACACGTTTTGTATTCTGATACACATGAAGGGAAATATGTATTTACTACAGCTGTAGATTATTTTAGAGATAGAATAGATAAAGATAAATTGTTTTGGTAGTGTAAAAAAGAGGACACTTACGTCATATTACATCTAAAAGTCATATTTTCTGCATATTTTATGGTATTACTTGATACAGTTCATGATATACGTTGTATTTGTCACATAACTTGTATTTATATGTAACGAGTGTAATATATGTGCCACTAGCATCAGTAAATTAATATAAATAAGTTATAGATAATTATTATTTCATACACGTTGATAGATTTAAAATTGATATACATGTCTTAATATTTCTTTTACATTTTAAACTGATAGAAAATAGCCATCTTTAAGTGAACTTCAGTAAATCCATATCCATATATATATATTGTAATTTATATATTTATGGATGATGACGGGCGATGCGGTGGTGCAGTAGGTAGTGCTGTCACCTCACAGCAAGAAGGTCGCTGGTTCGAGCCTCGGCTGGGTCAGTTGGCGTTCTGTGTGGAGTTCTCCCGTTTCCCCCGAAGTTCAAAGACATGTGCTATTGGTGAATTGGGTAAGCTAAATTGGCCGTAGTGTATGTGAGTGTATGCAAGAGTAAGTGGGTGTTTCCCAGTGTTGGGTTGCGGCTGAAAGGGCATCCACTGCTTAAAACATGTGGTGGATAAGTTGGTGGTTCATTCCGCTGTGGCGACCCCAGATTATAAGAGGGACTAAGCCGAAAAGAAAATGTCGCATTACTTCCTATGAAGTGCTTTGAAATGTGTATATTTTTATTTGATGTTTGACGTAATCTCAACTGAAACCTAAAGAGAGGGTGGGACATAGAGTAGCTTCTCTCTTTTAAAAAACAGCCAATAGAGATTCGTCTTTATCACCGCTTAGCCAGTGAGAGTGGTTGAGCTCAAGCGCATCAAATGAAAAGCAAATCTTGAAGGGAGCGGGTCAGATACTAGAGAGCAGGGTCAAGATGGTCCCCCGGGTTCCCTGGTTTTCTTCCCACTGTCCAAAAACATGCAACTTAAGTTATTGACTAATCAAAATCAGCACCATAGACATGCTCCTAGTAAGTAGTTATGTCTTAAGAGCAACCACTATCTGTTCATTTGCTACTACAGCAGGGGAGTTCTTGAGATCTACCTTAGCTCAAACTCCCCGCTCGCCTTGCAAATGGGAGGGAGCCTCGGGCTCGAGAATCTTATGAGCTCAGGGCTCTCTCCCAGGACAGCAGGACAAACAAGCTTTATAATCAATCATCAGCTAGTGCAGAGGTTCTCAAAGTGGGGGTCGGGACCCCCCGATGGGTCGCGGGACAATGAAGGGGGGTCGCCTGGTGATTTTCAAAAATCAATACATTTTTATTAAACCTTAAGACTTACTGTATTTTATCAATAACCTACTGAAGAGAAAAAAAATAGTCGTTTATAGTTACTATAAACTATATAGTTACTATAGTAGCTTTTAGTTACTAGTTCTACTGGATTGCGACTTCTCGGGTAATTACATTATACTAAAGACACAGCAATACTGTCAGATGCAGCAGATTTTGTAACACCAGGTTAAACTTTCTAGCCCATTTACAGCACTGACATACATAAAAAAAACAAAGAATAGACTTGGGTCTATTGGTGTGTTTGTGCGCATCATTGCATACAAGGTTTCTGTGTTTATAACCACCACCTCAGAGAATATTGGGGGTCACGTGTCACTGGCATTGTCATTTTGGGGGTCGCGGGCTGAAAAGTTTGGGAACCCCTGAGCTAGTGTGAACTCTTGAAATACGTTTAAGAAAATATATTGATTTAGAGTCTACCATGTAAACAGACATTTTTAAATAATTTAATCCAAATAAGGCCATAATCAAACTAAACAAAAATCGGATTAGGATGTGGAGTATGCCGATATTAGTCACATTATTGAAGTGCTGTACAAACACCGCAAACTATTACTGTCATTTAGGACTTTTCACCGCATTTTGCAACAGGATAGCCTATACACACAAGGCTGTGTGACACTATTATTTACACCTACCAAGTCAGTGAAGGACCACAGACACACACAGTGAAATGCAGAGGGTTTTTTTTTTCCATGCGGCGTGCAGTTTCAAATTCTAATAAAACAAGCTCTTCCAGCATCATACTCACATCCAATATCTCGTTTGTCACAGGGGGCATGCATGAAATGTTCCCAAGTGAAAGTGAAAGTGCCAAACTGCAGTAATAGTCGACAAACTAAAAATAAAACGCTCGAAATTACATAAAACTCCAGAGAAAATGTGGATAGCGTGACGTTAATGACGTTAATCGAATGATGTGCTATAACATGTAAAGCAAGATCATGAAAGTAACTTTCAAAACACAACTCATATAAACGCCTTAATTATGTCATTGTCTTATTCAGATTGAGGCAAATAATTTGATTACTGATGTCCATGTAAACGCAGTCCTTGCTATTTTTTAGGATGAATAATTAATCTGCATGTCATTAAGAAAAAAAACGTGTAATCTTTAATTGAAATCTGAGAATGCACTTTCTGTTTGTTTTCAGTTAAATTTTCAGATTACGTCTGTCTGAGGTATTGGGCGTGGCTAACATTCTTAACCACGCCCCTTCAGCTGTCAGTTTTGACAAAAAAAAAGAGGTGAGGAGGAGGAGGAGTCTGTTAGGTTGTAATAGCTCTTTTAGAATGAAATGCCTACTTTACAACATCCAATCAGCTTGCAGTACAAAAAAACAAGCCACGCCCACAGTTTACTCATTTAATATTCTGTTTCTTGAGGAACTGCATCACAATACAGAAAAATAAACAGTCGCAGCTTCCGGTTTGTGCAAACTTTAAATATTCCTTCATTAACACTCAGTCTCCATCTTCACCAACAGTCTGGTCAGTCTGTAGGGATGTTGGCTGCGGTGGAGCATGGTCCGGTCCTCTGCAGTGACTCCAACATCCTCTGCCTCTCATGGAAAGGACGGGTTCCTAAAAGTGAGAAGGAGAAGCCGGTGTGCAGGAGACGCTACTATGAGGAAGGCTGGCTGGCCACCGGGAACGCCAGAGGTGTTGTGGGAGTGACCTTCACGTCCAGTCACTGCAGGAGAGACAGAAACACCCCGCAGAGAATCAACTTCAATTTACGGGGTCACAACAGTGAGGTGAGTTTGCGTCTTCTTGATAGTTTTTGTTTAGCTGATGTTTAGTTAAATTTGCTATCCTGTTCATAAGTAACATGCACTCCTACAAAACTCCCATGGTTTTTGCACAGGTCGTCCTTGTTAGGTGGAATGAACCGTTTCAGAAGCTGGCAACGTGTGATATGGAGGGAGGGATATTTGTGTGGATCCAGTATGAAGGAAGATGGTCTGTAGAGCTGGTCAATGACAGAGGTGCTCAGGTATTTTACTATTTAAGCTTTTTTTATATTTATCTATGCTGAATGAGCGTCCAAGATTGATGAACTTACAATGTGTTCGATCTGAATTTTATTAATGTTGATATTTATAAAATCTGATTATTGGTGTCGATGTAAACATACTCAATATGATAAAACTAAAAAATCTACTAAAGTTGAATTAACTCTGAGTCATACTGATATAGGGCTCTATTTTGACGGTCCATGCGCAGAGCGCAAAACGCAGGGCGCAAACGCTTTCAGGGCGTGTCAGAACGCATTTTTGCTAATTTAAGGACGGGAAAATCCGCTTTGCGCCATGCCGCATGGTCTAAAAGGGTTGAGTTTATTTTCTTAATGAGTTATAGGTGTGTTTTGAGAATAAACCAATTAGAGTCTCATCTCCCATTACCTTTAAGAGCCAGCTGCGTCGCGCCAAGAGCGCGTTCGCTATTTACAGGACGCAAAGTAAGTCTAACTGGAAAAACTGAGCATTTCAATAGCAAACAGTTAACAGATGACAGTTTTTTTAACAGAAAACTGTTAAACAGAGCATCTACTGCGTGAGAATGAGAGATAATGGATCACTTTCACTTTCGCTCTTGGATAGGGAAACCTTTATGCACAGACATCAGTTAGTCTATAAATAATTAATTGCGTTTGTTAAGCTCAAATATTTGTTTCAAAACTATTTCTAAATTCAGGTCTAATTTCCAGCAAACGAATAAATAAATAATAATAGCAAAATGTGCTCAAAAACATGAGTTATATCCTAAAACACATGCTGTGCCCCATATGGTCTAAAACCTGACAGGTGGGCAAATCTAAGCTTGTTTTTAATCAAACAAACATAAATATGGATATAATAAATAATACTGCTAATAATAATAACATTATACAAAAGCAAATTGTTATGAATTAACTGAAAAAGCCTCCCGAGATGAAGAAGACATAAAAGCAGTGGTTTTTCATATTTATGTAGGCTAGAAAATAATGTCTTGTAATTTTTAATCCTTTATATTTATATCCTATATCTATTTTTATTATATCCTATATATATTCCCTTAATATTTAAATTTTTTCATATGTAAAGATCTTTGCCTATTGCTCTCTTGTGCGTATTAAGCAGTGTGTAAGCGAGGCGCAACTCTGCGCCGGAGTTTAGACCGGGTTAGTTTTGGTCTAATGAAAAATCTATTATAGTTTCTCAAAATAGCAACGCGCCAGCGGTCCGCCTCAGAACGCCTTCCTTTTTAGACCAGAACGCCTATGGGCGCACATCTGAGCGCTAATGCATTTGCTATTTAAACAGCGTAGCGCAAAGCCTCAAAACAACTCTTGCGCCAAGCTGAAACTACCAAAAGACTACTGCGCCACGCATATGATAGGGCCCATTGACTTCTATATCAGCATCAGTTTTGGTTACTACTAAAAGTTAACCCATTAGTTAACCCTTTAATTTGCAGTTCATGTACAAAATGTTGTTTTCATAAATAAAAGCTGCAGTATATTATCTAATATTTTCCATATTTTAGAGGAAAAACACTTTCTTGGGGAGTGTTGCAGTCTTGGATGAATTAGTGATCAGAAAAATCATTCATTTTGATACAAAATTTCCTTTCAAGTACACGAAAAACTCCACTTCAACACATACGGATTTGTCAGTGTATGAATACAAGACATGCTGTGATATTCATATTAACACCTACATAATTGGCATTACATAATTTTAATTAAAGGTACTGTATGCAAGTTTTTGACTCCGCTAAAGCATAAAAAATACCATAATATATTTGCAGATATTTAAGAGACATGCCGTGTGAACATTCTTGTTTATCTGAAATATAATGCTGAAGTCAGATATTCTTTGAAAATGGGCCAGAACGTCTGTCTTTGTTTTGGTACTTTTAACCCGCCCAATGCCACTTTAGCCAATTATATTTCAGCAACCCAGGTTGCCTTTATGGTTAATCGCATACTTATGCACTATTCAACGCCATTTTGTAGTATAAATAATGTAAGTAGTGTTTACACACTGAAAACTCTAAAAATAATAAGTGCACTTTAAATACCCGGATGATGCACTCATTCAGCCGCTAAAATGAAGTGTGTAATGATGGACACTTCACACACTCAACGACCGCAGGTTTGCTCACGTAGCAGAAGGGGCGGAGCTATCGGATGCACATGTTGAATGTTTATTAATGAAACTCAAACTAATTACAAATATTATTTTGCAATATAAACAAATTCTGGTAGGAAAGTAATGAACAAATGATGATTTGTCTTCTAGGTGAGTGACTTCACCTGGTCCCATGATGGCACCCAGGCCTTAATCGCCTACAGAGACGGTTTTGTGCTGGTGGGCTCAGTCAGCGGTCAAAGACACTGGTCATCTGAGATCAATCTGGAGAGTCAAATCACCTGTGGAATCTGGACCCCCGATGACCAGCAGGTAACGCTTTCAGTGTGGCTTCTTAAAAAAAGAGAGATGGTGAAGTTATTAGTTCTCCAAATGAAATTAAAGTTGTTTTTAAAAAAAATTCACAAGTGATGTTTAACCGAACAAGGACATTTTCACAGTATTTACTATTATACATTTCTTCTATTTCTTTTGGAGGATTTTTTTGAAGACTGACATTATTTGCCTCCTTAGGAATTTATATTTTGGTTGGCACGATAGCCCAGTGGTTAGAGCGTCGACATCACTCTTGTAACAGTGAAGTGACGCTGACAACAGGAGTGCGGATCCAAATGCAGGTTTATTAGAATGGTCAGGCAAGCAATGGTCAACACAGGGGCAAACATGTATACAGGCAAGCCAGAATCGTAGCAGATGGTCAGAGGCAGGCAGCAGACAGGAATAAACAAATAAACGAGGCGAGAATGTAAAAACAAAGCAGAGCAAGACAAAGGAAAACGCATTGTAGTGTCACAAACAAAACACAAGACTCAGCAATGAGTGTTTCAAAGTGAGTCGAATATATGTGTGTGTAATCAGTCATTGAGCAGCATCAGCTGTGAGAGTGTAATCAGTCAGGATTTGAAACTGGTTGTGAGTGTGTGTGTGGTGCATGACTGGGTTTTGTAGTCCATTATGAGGCAGGATTGTAGTTCATGTGAGTGTGCATGTTTTCCAGGGATCTCTGGTGGTTAGATCGCTGGTGATCGTGACAGCTCTAGGCATCCCAAGTTCGAAACCTGGCTCATGGACCTTTTCCGATCCTCTAGTTCTCTTATTTGACTTCCTTTCATCACACGGTTCCATCAAATATTGGCAAAAAGCCAAAAATAAATCTGAAAAAACCCTGCAGGGTTTAGCTCCAACTTGCCTCAACACATCTGCATGGATGTTTCAAGTATACCTAGTAAGACCTTAATTATCTTATTCAAGTGTGTTTGATTAGGGTTGGAGCTAAAATCTGCTGGACACCAGACCACCAGGAATAAGTTTGGTCATCCATGGCCAAGGAGTTTGAGCATTGACATAAAGCACAACAGTGCTCTGGCTGTCCCAAGTTCGAATCCCACCTCGTTGGCCTTTCCTGATTCTGTCCCCCTCTGTCCCATTTCACTTTCTACTGAATCCTTAAATCTTCGCACTTGACTTTCTACTGAATCCTCACTCATCCTACTGTCCTATCATATAAAGGCAAAATGGAAAAAAAATAACTCTTAAAAGAAATTATATTTTGGTCGGCATGTATTTGTAATGTAATGTAATGTAATGTAATGTGTATTTATATAATGCATTTATTGTGTATGGTCATACACCCAAAGCGCTTCACAATCATGGGGGGGGGGTCTCTCCACACCACCACCAGTGTGCAGCATCCACTTGGATGGTGCGACGGCAGCCACAGGACAACGGCGCCAGTGCGCTCACCACACACCAGCTATTGGTGGAGTGAAGAGACAGTGATAGAGCCAACTCGGTGGAAGGGGATGATTGGGAGGCCATGATTGTAAGGGCCAATAGAGGGACTTTGGCCAGGACACCGGGGTTACACCCCTGCTCTTTCATGAGAAGTGCCATGGGATTTTTAATGACCACAGAGAGTCAGGACCTCGGTTTAACGTCTCATCCGAAAGACGGCGCCCACTGACAGTATAGTGTCCCCTTCACTTTTACTGGGGCATTAGGACTCACGCAGACCACAGGTTGAGCGCCCCCTGCTGGCCTCACTAACACCACATCCAACAGCAACCTAGTGTTCCCTAGTGGTCTCCCATCCAGGTACTGACCAGGCTCAGCCCTGCTTAGCTTAAGTGAGTAACCGGTCTTGGGCTGCAGATTGATATGGCTGTGGCATATTTTTTATAGCCACAGCCATATCACCCTGCAACCTAAGACCGGTTACTCACTGAAGCTAAGCAGAGCTGAGCCTGGTCAGTACCCAGATGGGAGACCTGGGAAAACTAAGTTGCTGTTCTCTTTCCAGAAAATTCCCAGAACAAATTTACCGGTATTTTCAAAAAGGGCCTGTTCACACATACAGACCTTTACTAGCAATGTTCCAGAAAGGTCTATATGTGTGAAAGGGGCCATTGTCATGTGGCCGATGTCACATCATCCAAGTTGATGTTGCACACTGGTGATGGTGTGGAGTGCACCACCCCCCCCCCCCCCCCCCATGATTTTGCTTTTGGCCATACACGATAAATGCTCTATATAAAAACACATCGCATTAAAAAGTGGTTAGAGCAGGGGTGTCAAACTCAATTCCTGGAGGGCCGAAGCCCTGCACAGTTTAGTTCCAACCCTGCTCCAACACACTTACCTGTAGGTTTCAAACAAGCCTGAAGGACTCAATTAGTTTGATCAGGTGTGTTTAATTAGGGTTGGAACTAAACTGTGCAGAGCTGCGGCCCTTTTGGAACTGAGTTTGAAACACCTGTGGGTTAGAGCATCGACATTGCTCCGGGCGTCCAGAGCTAGAATCCCGGCTCGTGGGCTTTTCCCAATTCTGTCCTTCCCTCTCTCCCAGTACAGACAATACAAAAAGTACAAACATAGTGCAAGGCAAAGGCAAGGCAAACTTACATATAAAAAAAACAGTAGGCATAAATATAAAAAAGAACATGAATAAATAACAATAGCATTGATTTTATTCTGTATACTGAGTTTAATGTGCACATGAGGTAATTAAAGGTGGTTCAATTGGAAAATGGCCTGGGGAAAAACTGTTCTTGTGGCTGGCTGTGTTAGTGCACAGGGCAAACACCTTTAAATGTAATTTTAAACTGAATACTAGTATCTAGTATAATATTATGAACTGCCATCATGGCTAAGACAAAAGAAATCAGTTATTATAAATGAGTTATTAAAGCTATTATGTTTAAAATCTTATGGATAAAATCTCTACAATAAACAGCCATTTTTGAAAAAGACCAAAGTTTCACAGGAGGGCTAATAATTTTGTCTTCAAGCAGTATTTATTGTCAGCAGGCTGTTAGCTAGTGGTGAAGTGACTTGGACTGTTGCCTGCTTTTCCCTAATTTGGTGTTTGCATTCGTTTAATCTCCCTAGGTGCTTTTTGGAACGGCAGACGGGCAAGTGATAGTGATGGACTGCCACGGCCGTATGCTTGCCCATGTTCTGCTGCATGAGTCAGATGGCATTGTCAGCATGTCCTGGAACTGCCCGAACTTTCTGGTGGAGGACAGCACCGAGAGCGACACTGACTCTGATGACCAGACGCCAGCTCACGGTACACTCATTAAAGTCAAATGTCTTTATATAGTGCATCTCAGTCACAACACACTACGTTTTAAAACGGATTTACATTTACATACAGTCATTTAGCAGATGATTTTGTCCAAAGCAAGGCATTCAGTTATTGACTAAGAAGAGGCAATACACACAAGAAGTACTCTTTGTGCTCAGAAAACCCTGCTGAAAAATCCAGCTTAAACCAGCCTAGGCTGGTTTAAGCTGGTTTTTTCAGTAGGGAATTAAGTGCTAGAGTAAGGAGGGGGAGTGTTTTTTTAGAGAGATAGAGAAGAGTGTTTCTTCGGATGGTTTGGCAAGCCCACTCACCTGTGTAAAACACACTTTATGAATGCACAGTGTTTTTTTTGTTGTTGTTGTGCTGATTGTAAGAAAGGGTCTGGTGCAAATGTGCAAAGCTGGTGCTGGATTCAGTGTCATAGAAATGTAAGAGGGTGAGGCAGTGGCGCTGTTGGTAGTGCTGTCGCCTCACAGCAAGAAGGTCGCTGGGTCGCTGGTTTGAGCGCCGGCTCAGTTGACGTTTCTTTGTGGAGTTTGCATATTCTCCCTGCGTTCGCGTGGGTTTCCTCCGGGTGCTCCGGTTTCCCCCACAGTCCAAAGACATTCGGTACAGGTGAATTGGGTAGGCTATGTTGTCTATAGTGTATGAGTGTGTGTGTGAATGTGTGTGTAGATGTTTCCAAGAGATGGGTTGCTGCTGGAAGGGCATCTGCTGCGTAAAAACTTGCTGGATAAGTTAGCGGGTCAATCCGCTTTGGCGACCCTGGATTAATGAAGGGACTAAGCCGATAAGAAAATGAATGAATGAATTAAATGAAAGAGTGTGTTTTTTTACTGGTGGTTTAGCAAACCTACTCAACTGTGTGAGGCACATTTAGTTTGGGATGGTTGTGTAGTGAGGTTTTCTTTACAGGGGTTCAGGGCTTTGCAGAAATCATAACGATGAATTCAAATTTTTTATAGCTTATAGTCAGGTCTAAGGCCCCGTTTACACTAATGCATTTTAGTTTTGCTACAGTTACGAAATCTGTCCACACTATGCCGGAGTTTTCAGCGCCGAAAACTGAACGTTTTGGAAATGCTGGAGGGGCCGTTTTCATTCTAAAACGCTGCTGCTCCGTCTCAGTGTGGATGGGGAAAAACGGAGACATCTGAAAATCGAAGACGGGCTGCTGAGATTCACTACCTGATTGGGGCTTTTGTGTCATTGCGTATCCTTCCCTTATTCGTCAAGCCCCTATCACATGACTAAAACGCATAGCTTTAACGCTACCGGAAGACAGCAGACCAGCCTTCACTGTAAACAACAACACGGACACAGAAATGGGAGCGTTGTTTGCACTATTGTCTGTTTTAGGCGCCATTGTGCAGTTATGTATTTGTTACTTTTAGTAACAACTCGACCTCGTCGTCTGTCCACAAAAATACCTCTCTTGCTTTTTTTGCCATCGCGTTCATTGTTCAACCAGCGTTTGTTCACTAACAATAACTAAGTGCCATTCGCGCTTGCCCAGAGTGTGTGTGTGGTCACGTGATATACAACTTGGTGGCGTAGTGTGGATGGAAATATGTTCTGAAACGCTAGGTGAAACGCTAGTATGGATGCGGATCGTTTTTGATCTAAAACCCCTTTTTTAAACTAAATCGCACTAGTGTAAACGGGGCCTAAGATTAAGAGGTTTTAAATCTTTAATTGTTTTCCATACATTAGATTTACAGAAAACACACTCTCCAGTGTAACATTATATTATATACTTAAAATTCTTGACATGGCAGGATGTTGGCTTAGTAGTTAGCAATGTCGCCTCACAGCAAGAATGTCGCTGGTTCAAGTCCCGGGTGGGTCAGTTGGCATTTCTGTGTTGAGTGTTTCTTGGGTGCTCCAGTTCCCCCCACAGTCCAAAGACATGCGCTGTAGGTGAATTGGATAAACTGGCTGTACTGTATGAGGGGTGTGTGAATGCGAGAGTGTATGGGTGTCTCCCGGTACTGAGTTGCAGCTGGAAGAGCATCCGCTGCGTAAAACATATGCTGGAATATTGCGTGGTTCATTCCGCTGTGGCGACCCCTGATTAATGAGGTACTAAGCCGAAGGAAAATTAATACAATTACGCAGCGGGTGCCCTTCCAGCCGTAACCCAACACTGGGAAACACCCATACACTTTTGCATTCACACATAATCTACGGACAATTTAACTTACCAGTTCACTCAACGAATTCACCATGGTTGTTAATGGTTCCATTAATGAACCAGCTGGAAGGGCGTCTGGCCGCTAGCTGGAAGGGATGCTGTGATGTGTATTTCTCTTTCTAAGTATTACCTGTAATACCAACTTTTTTGTTTTGTTTTGAAGTTCAAAATCTGAAACCACTGCTCACGGTCAGCTTCATATCAGGAGATATCAGTTTGATGAACAACTACGATGACCTTTCACCTAACATTATCCGCTCAGGACTGAAAGGTAAAACACTGCTGTTTTTGGAACAAGTTAAACTTATTTTGTTGTTACAGGCACTCAATTATCATTAACAGGAATGCCGTTATTTTCCAAATTAATTGCACACATCAATTGCATGCTTTTAATTTCTCTAATTCCACAAATCATCATTTTAAAGTACAGTTAAAACTTCCTGCCTATAATATAATACAGTAAAATTAACCTTGACTTGTTTATTAAAGCGATGTGATTGCACAGATCGAATGCTACACTATTCTGATTGTTACTATGAGCTGTAATGTGTGTGTTTTCAGATGTGGAGGTGCAGTGGTGCTCTCAGGGAGATCTGCTGGCCGTGGCTGGGATGGAGAGACATGGGCTGCCCACTGACTCTTTAATGAGGAACGCCCTTGTCAAGTTTTACAATGTCCAAGGAGAACATATATACACTTTAGAAACTCCAGCCCAAGTGAGCTGGGACTTCTCTCATCAGACCAGTCAGCGTTTTTAACATGTCAAGTATATTTAGGTTACCAAAATTTTGAATAATTAAAGGGTTAGTTCACCCAAATTTTTTTAATTATGTCATCGTTTACTCATCCTTCACTTGTTCCAAACCTGTTTGAGTTTCTTTCTTATGTTGAAAACAAAAGATATTTTGAAGAATTTTGAAAACCGAAAGCCACTGACTGATATTATTTTATTCCTGCTGTAGATGTCACAGGTTTCCAACATTCTTCAAAATACCTTTTGTGTATTCAACAGAACAAAAGAAACTTATAAAGGTTTGACACCACAGGGTGAGTGAGGGAATTTGATTGTCTGGGTGAATAATCCTTTTAGGCAGCACAGTGGCTCAGTGGTTAGCACTGATGATTCACAGCAAGAAGGTCGCTGGTTCAAGTCCTAGCTGGGTCAAATGGAATTTTTGTGTGGAGTTTGCATGTTCTCCCCATGTTGGCCGGGTGCTCCAGTTTCCCCCACAGTCCAAAGACATGCGCTATAGGTGAATTGAATAAACAAAATTGGCTGTAGTGTTTGTGTGTGAATGAGTGTGTATGGATGTTTCCCAGTACTGGGCTGCAGCTTGAAGGGCATCCGCTGTGTAAAACATGCTGGATAAGTTGGCGATTCATTCCGCTGTGGCGACCCCTGATAAATAAAGGGACTAAGCCGAAGGAAAATGAATTAATAATTTGGTCGAATAACCAGGAATGACTGTGGAAGAACATGCAAACTCCACACAGAAACGCCAACTGACCCAGCTGAGGCTCGAACCACAAGCCTTGCTGTAAGGCGAACGTGCTACCCACTGCGCCAACTTGTAGCCTTGCATTCAATTAATCACGGTAAATTACAGACTTTTTTTAAATATGCTACAAACTTTTATATTTCAAAAGCATATACTTTCCAAAGAATCCTGACTAATATTTTATGAGCACCAAATTAGCATATTATAATGATTTCTGAAGACTGTAGTAAATTACTGGTTTTGCATCAAGTGGTAAAGCAACACAATCTAAAAATGACACAATAACTCAATTACGTATTTGTAATTACATATTGATATTTGCATTTTGACATCATGAAGTCCAAATTATTAGCCGTCCTGTGTATTTTGCATTTCTTTTTCAATTATTTCCCAAATAACGTTTAACAGATCAAGGAATTTTTCACAGTATTTCCTATTATATTTTTTCTTCTGAAGAATGTTTTATTTTTTTGTATTTCGACTAGAATAAAAGCAGTTTTAATTTTTTTTAGCCATTTAAGGTCAATATTATTAGCCCTCTTAAGCCCTTTTTTCAGATTGTTTACAGAACAAACCATCGTTTTACAATGACTTACCTGATAAACCTAATTAACCTACTGTAGGCAGGCCTTTAAATCGCACTTTAAGCTGAATAATAGTATCTTGAAAGACATCTAGTAAAATAGTATGGTAAGTCATCATGGCAAAGATAAAATAAATCAGTTATTAGAAATGAGTTATTAAAACTATTATGTTTAAAAATGTGTTGAAAAAAAACTTCTTTCCGTTAAACAGAAATTGGGGAAAAACATACAGGAAGACTAATAATTCTGACTTCACCTATACAAGCCACCCATAACTGATATCCTATATTTAACTTAAACAATATGTCTTTTATATTTAGAGGCCCATCACCACTATCTGCTGGGGTCACAGGGACTCGCGGTTGTTTCTGGCCTGTGGACCAGCCCTGTATGTGGTGCGTGTGGAGCACCGTGTGGCCAGCCTGCAGCTCCTGTGCCAGCAGGGCATTGCCAGTGCTCTGAAAGAGGAGAGAGATGTTGGAAAACTGAACATGCCTTCACTCCTCTGCTCCTACGTCACCACTGCATTCATTCCAACCATCAAGGTACAGAAAAAGCAAGTGAAGTCCTGTTAAATGTATGCAGATATATGCATTAATGTATGATCTTTTATCTATCAAGCCCCCCATTCCTGATCCGAACAACATTAGAGACTTTGTGAGCTATCCCACAGCAGGGAACGAACGATTGCACTGCACTATGAAGCGTTCAGAGGAAAACCCTGAGGCTGGAGGCCCCTGTTATACCCTCTATCTGGAACACCTCGGAGGTCTGGTGCCTATTCTCAAGGGCCGTCGCATCAGCAAACTGCGACCTGAGTTTGTCATTATGGACCCAAAAATGGATGGCAAAGCAGGTACAAGTATGGCCTTTTTAGGCTTTATTGCATTTTAAAGGCACAGTATGTAATTTAAGCCACTAGAGGCAGCGTATTCACAACAAACAATGGCGTAGTTTGATGACGCTGTGACTGAGTGTGGAATCATGGAAGTTGTTGTTTTCATTACATCCTATGGGACGCCTGCAGAAGTCATGTTGATGGATGAGCTAAAGTATTCAACCCTTATTATCATGGTAGTATGAAGCAGAGTAAGGCAGAAAGCTGTTAAAGAGATACGAAAGAAACACTGAAGCAATTGCTGATGAGAGACAAGCGTGACAGCATGAAAGCAGCAGAACTTTTATCATGCCAAAGACCAGCACTTCTGGTTCAGAAGTTCAAAAGAAGCAGCACTGTTTTATCAGACTAAATACATTTTATGCTTCTGTTATAATGCTGCTCTGTGCAGTATAAAACAATACACAACATATTAAAGTGTCTTATGTTTTCCTGGTTTTTTATAAAACCAAACTGAAATTGAAGATGTGTGATGTCATTAGCATGAACACACAGCATACGCTTCATCTTATGCTGTGTTCATACCAGTCCCGGAAAGCGCAAATAAATTGCACTATTCGCATGTAAATAGAGGCGTGAACATTTAAGTTTACTCGCTTCGTTCGTGCATGAAAATCTGCTTCATTCGCGCATCAAATTCATTTCACAACAGACACAGATTTGCGCGATGGGCAGGGCTTCTGTCTGCCTGGTGACTCTAGCTTCGTGGCTAAATGGCTAACATTGATTTTATTGAGAAAGTAACTGTGTTTATGTGCTTTATGAAGGCTGAAAAACAGCGTTGATTCGTTTGGAGCAGTGTCTAAGTCCACTAGATCCTTTCAGAAGTGCTCTGTGAGCTCATAAACTCCTCCAGAAACTTAACCTGGATGATGGAAGCATTCAGCGGTGCTTCTGACTGAGCCGAGCCCAGTTTGATGAACTGTTGTCGGTGTGTGCAGAATGATTTTCCCCCGGGTCACCAACAACAGGCGCTACGTCATATTCACGCCCCTACAAGAGGAAGTTCCTAATTGGTTGATGCGGCTCGAATGTCCGCTGAAGTTCATATTTTCTAACTCAATCGGTTCATGCGTTAAGCAAGTCAAACACGCAAATCGCACAATTCGCGCCGCACCATTCACGCTTATCGCACTGCAGGATGTCTATTCGCACCTTTGCATTGACTTAACATGTAAATCACTTGCGCTTGACACTACTTCTGTGTCTGGTGTGAACACAGCATTACTAGTTAAAATTGCTAATTTTTGTGGATTTTATTATTCTTTAAAACATTTGGGACAATGTAATGTAAGTACATAAGTCAGCAAAATACAGCATATAACGTTGTTCTCATGTTCTGGGGTTTTTTAAATGTTAAAAAATATAAGCATACAATAGGTAAATTTTTATGGAACACATCTTAAATTTGATGTAATCTTGTCTTTCAGATGAGGTCTGTGTAAATGGCATGATCTCCTATATGACTGACAGCTGTAACTGCTCAGACTCTAGTGATATTGAGCTGAGTGATGAGTGGGTTGGGCGAAAGTCGCCCAAACTTTCCAGAGGAAACAGGTCTCCTAAGCTTCCTAGGTACTCTAAACATATAAGGTACTGTTGAATATAACATTCATACTACATTACAGGGTGCCTGAAACTTAACATAAATATTTATTTCATCACAACTTTGCAAAAATACAATACAGCAAATTTCTGAAAATTAAAAGGGTTTTAGTCTTGACTAAACAAATGCAAATACCTAATTGTTTTTTATATATATTTGTTTTAAATTTCTAGAATTAATATGGAATCAAGGAAGTCTCCAAAACTTGCCCAAACATCTCAAGAAATGTCTAGGTCGCCTAGATTACCAAAGAAGCCTCCACTTCGGTCTCCGAGTCTCACTCGAAGAGAATTTCCAGTTGATGGTTTTAGTGAGGTACAATATGTTTTAAATTTAATCTCCTTGACTAAAATGGATATGGAATGTGTTTGTATTGCCGCTGTGGATAAGATAACTGTGTAAAAAATTTTGTCACATTTCTACACCATGGCCTCAGCAGACACCTCATTTTCTTAAAGCTCCTGCTTTGCAGAAGACAAATGACAGTAAACCGAATTCGAACACTGTTTATAGCTAACATTAATGTGCTTTGCAGCATAATTACTTGGCCCAGGTCACGTCTAACATCTGGGGGACAAAGTTTAAAATAGTGGGTCTTGCCTCTTTTTTGCCAGCTAACCTGGGAGCAGGTAAATAGTTATGTTTTGTATTTTTAAAAATAATTTAAAAAAACAAATGTTTTTAAAACCTGTTTTGACATTGTTGCATGATGTGTCAGTTATTTATAAAACTAGTTTGCTGCACCTGCAACCTCGTCAGATGACCATCTATTTGCCTGAAGTGCGTAAAATTTCCCTGGACTTCATGAGCCTGCCAGTTTTCAACCCCAATGTGTTCAGTGAGGATGAAGATGATTTACCTGGTAAGACTTTTCTGTGCAACTAAAACAAGAAATCATAGACACGTAAAGAATTTTTCTCAAGATGCATATGATTATTTCTAGTTATGGGACCTTCTGGAGTGTCAGCCGACAATCCTTCTTGCACAGTTAATATCCCCATTGCCCCAATTCACAGCCCTGCTCAAGCCATGTCACCTACTCAGAGCATAGGCCTTGTGCAGTCTCTACTAGCCAACCAGAACATACAGCTTGATGTCCTTACCAATCCTACTGCAACTGCAGCGGCGGCAACTGCAGCAGCGGCAGCAGCAGCAGCGGCAGCAACAGCAGCAGCAGCAACAGCAGCGGCGGCTAATGCAACAGTATCTGAGCACAGTCAGGATACTGTTACAGCACAGTACACTGTGCCAACCAGATACTCCAACCCTGGACAGGTGATATTCAGTGGACTGGAAATGAATAACATTTTGAGTGGAACTCTTCCTCCCCCTCCACATCATCTGCCACAACCACCCCACCAACAACGTCAGCAACCACAAGACCATCAACAGTCAAAGCATCAACAGCAATTACAACCACAACAACATCATCTGAAATTGCAGCATCAGCCGCAGCAGCTGCATCAACAGTCGCTGCAACAGCAACACATGCAACATCAGCAGCAATTGCAAACACCACAACATCAACAACTGCAACAGCAGCATCAACAACAGCTGCAACAACAGCATCAACTGCAACAGCAGCATCAACAGCAACTGCAACAACAGCATCAACAACAACTGCAACAACAGCATCAACAACAGCAACTACAACAGCAGCATCAACAACAACAACTTCAGCAGCAGCATCAACAGCAACTGCAACTGCAACAACAACATCAACAATTACAACAGCAACATCAACAGCATCAACAACTACAACAACAACACCAACAACTGCAACAGCAGCATCAACAGCAGTTGCAACAACACCAACAGCAGCTGCATCAGCAGCAAATGCAACAACATCAACTGCAACACCAACAACAACAAATTCATCAACAACAGTTTCAACAGCAGCAGCAGCAGCTGCAGATCCAACATGAGCAAATGCAGCAGCAGCAGCAACAGATGCAACAGCAGCAGCAACAAATTCGACAGCAAATTCTGGAGATGAGGCAGCAGCAGCAACAGCTTCAGCAGCAACATCAACAAATACAGATGCAGCATCAACAAATGCAAAGACAACATCAACAAATGCAGCAGCAGCTTAAAATGCAGATGTCCCTCCAACCTTCACCTTCAGGCTATGCTACTCTATCCCTCCATCACTTACAGTTGATGCCTCAAATTCCTCATCCAGACCAGCCACCAGATAGAGGAGAACAAGTCCTCCCTCTAAAAGTTCCTTCACGACCACAGTCATTCATTGAAATGGACACTCTTGAGATCCAGTTGCGCAAGGTAAACCCGCCTCCACCTTATCCCGGTACAGTGGTATCAGCTGCAGCTGCTATCCCTACTACAGCCCCTCCTGGTCTTCTTGTTAGCAATGAGAATGGCACTACGCTGTCAACAGATACATGTTTAACTAAGGACGAATTCTCTCTTCACCCAATTAGTCTACAATACCCAACTCCATTGGGTTATGAAAGAATCACCACATTTGACAGCAGTGGAAATGTCGAAGAGGTGTGTCGTCCAAGAAGACGGCTGTTAAGAAACCAAAATGCTTATGGGATGCAGGGAATGGGCAGCTCTGCTACACTGAAAGTAACTTCATCTGAAAACAAAAAGGTCCAGTTGCCATACAGCTCAGCAACTCTTAGTCGCCTCTCAGTGCCTAGATATTCCATACCAAGTGGAGATCCACCACCATATCCAGACACATCCAACCAGATGAACACAATCAGAAGTCCTACGCAAAGGATTGACAGCAGTTTGATTCATGCCACTTTGCGTCGAGATAGAAGGGAACCGTCTCTGAAGGTTTCTCAAATGGTGGATGCAGTGAGGACACTACCAACAAAATCCAAAATGAACGGCTCCCTCACGCTGTCTTATCAGCCGAGAATACCCTCTGCTTTGTACACATGCACTCAGTGTAGCAGTAACAGCAGCAGCACTAGTGTGAGTGTCACTGGTGGTGGCACTAACAGCAGTGGAATAGCTGGAGGAACGGTTGTGAGGCAAGACTTCCCACCGGGCAAAGGAGCGCAACACAGCACGATAATTGTGCACTCCAAAAGTGCCTCGCCATTAGCATCTCAGTCCTCCTATAACCTCCTAAGTCCCACTGACAACAGTAGAGACAGAACTGTCTATGTGAATTCTGCCTTTACAGAAGATGAGACAGTAAGTCAGCAGTGTCATCTTGAAAAATCAATGCGCCATTTAACCCTAGGGGATGTCAACTTGACAGTTAAGCGACCTCCGCCTTATCAATGGGACTCTCCTGCAGCAGAACAACTCTGGATACCTCAAGAGCAAAATTTATTGCCTGGACCTCCACCTCATAAGCCACCACCATTTATACTTAGCCAGCCACAGCACTTGGAAATTGCACGGCTACCTTTTGTTCTTTCAGCCAAGCATACCCCCAGTCCCAATTCTATGACTCTCCCATCACCCTATCAGTTATCTCTTTCACCCTACCCTTCAGTTGTGGGGCATGGTGGACCTCCACTTCAGCCTTTGCAGAGTCCTGCACAAACTTGTGGCCCGAATGACATGGTGGCATCTAGCCCTTTCAGCCAACCAGACTCAACTTTAGTCCTGCCCCCTGGTTATCCCTCTAATGTTAGCAATCTAGGTTGTTGTACTCTGCCACCAATGTACCCAGGGACTAGTTCCTGCAACAACCTTCAGTTGCATCCTATGAGCTTGCATCCTTGGAGCACTTACAGCACTTGTCCTCCCATGCCAGACCATTCTGCCACACTCCCCAGTAAGACCCATCAGACCCTAGAGAAACCAGTTCTCTCTCCGCCTCCACCACCTCCACCTCCGCCACCCCCTCCTCCTCCACCTCCTCTCCCTCCTCCTCCTCCACCTGTCGAACACTTGAACCTCCAGAGCACCTCAGAAGTGGTTGCTGAATCTGGGGAAAGCTTTCAGGATCAATCCTCTCTCAATGAGAGTCCACAGGGAGCAGAGAGGTTCAGCAAAAAGGGTCGTAAAAGGCTTGACAGTAGGGCAGAAGAGGCCAATATGTCTGGAGTCTCTGAAGGTAAATCAAAAAAAGAGAGTCGCACTCTCTCTGACTTCAATTCCCTGATCTCCAGCCCAAGACTCGGCAGCAGGGAGAAAAAGAAGCCTAAAGGACAGAAGGAGCCACTAAACAAGACCAAGAAACTAAGCAGGACATCCAATGAGTTCCAGGACAGCTCAGAGAGTGAGCCTGAGCTGTTCATTAGTGGTGATGAATTAATGAACCAAAGTCAGAGCAGCAAGAAAGGTTGGAAGAGCAAGCGGAATTTGCGTACAGCAAACGAGCTTGAGGAAATCAAGTGCCGCAAAGCTAACGAGAGAGAGGATCGCAGTCTTGGCAGCCAAGGCTTTGTTTATGTCATGGCCAACAAGCAGCCATTGTGGAATGAAGCCACCCAGGTTTACCAGCTAGACTTTGGAGGACGGGTAACGCAAGAATCAGCCAAAAACTTTCAGATTGAGCTTGATGGACGTCAGGTAAACAGTTTTATTAATTATCTTTTTTTTGGGGTTGGGGTGTTGGAAATAACTTTGAAAAAAAGTTTTATAATCTGTGACACAAAGAAAATTCAGTTATTAATTACTCATCCTCAAGTTGTTTCAATCTACTGAGACCTTCGTTCATCTTTGGAACATAAATGAATATATTTTAGATGAAATCCAAGAGCTCTCTCATCCTCCATATACAGCAATGGTCTTGAGATGTTCAAAGTCCAGAAAAGAAACCAAAACATTGTCAAAACAGTCCATGTGGCCCTTGTGTTTGCATGGGTTTCCCCCAGGTGCTCTGGTTTCCTCCACAGTTCAAAGACATGCAGGATAGGTGAACAGTGAATAGATGTGTGTGTGTCCGTGGAGAGTGTATGGGTGTTTACCAGTACTGGGTTGCGGCTGGAAGGGCATCCACCGCATAAAACATTCACCTGAGAAAATGGCGATTCATTCCACTGTGGCGAACACTGATAAATCAGGGACTAAGGCCCCGTTTACACTAGTGCGTTTTAGTTTTAAAACGGCGTTTTAAATGAAAACGATCTGCGTCCACACTCGCGTTTTACCCAGCGTTTCTGAACTGCTCTCCGTCCACACCAAAACGCTGAAAACGCACATCACGTGACCACACACACACTCTTTGGCAAGCGCTGCAGCCCATCTACCCAGATGAGAGCTCTGCTAGTCGGACTTCTCATCAAGCATCTCCCGCTGGATCTAATCTCACTATATTTATTAAACGGGACTTTTCATTCATCTTGTTGTCTTTATCTAACGACATATTCCCAGACTTTGGTCATTGGAATCTATTACTTGTTCTCAGGTAACGTGTTTTGGCTGAGCGCAAAGATAAGTTAATGATTAATGTAACCACGTACATTCTGTATATTGACTGATCGCTAGCCTTTATTTCCTATAGTGTATAAACTTATTGTATGTTATACTTTTATAATGGCCATTATCGATTATTAAAACTGATATTCAGCAAAAGATAGGGGATGTTTCGTATTTTCACTGAAATTGAAAGGAGGCAGTTGTTGGCTCCGTTTTGTTAGAACTATTCACACAGTGAAGATGACGCTCATCTTATACAGCACGGCGCCTCAACATTTCTGCTGTCTGTTTAGTTGTTAATATTACAATGAAAATAGGCAGTTCCTTATATCATGTTTACATTTTATTGTTGAGAAAGTGAAACAACGTAGCCAGGGTGATGTGAATGAAGTTATAAAGTACACTGTTCCCTTTGAAGATTGACGCGTGTCCTTGGTATGTTTTCCATATCAAACTGAGAAGAAGAGACTGCAGCCTTGATCAAACTTGCGAAGTCTGAACTTACACAGAGAAGATGCGGGACTGAACTGTTTGTAGGCTACTTAATATTGAGGAAAAGCCCCAATCAGAGAGGCGAATGTCGGCAGCCCCGCCTCCGTTTTCAGATGTCTTCGTTTTCCATCATCCACACTGAGACGGAGCAGCAGCGTTTCAGAATGAAAACGGCCTCTCCAGCGTTTTCGAAACGCTCCGTTTTCGGCGCTCGAGAACTCCGGCGTAGTGTGGACGGATGGCGTAACCGTAGCAAAACTTATGCGTTTTCAAACTAAAACGCACTAGTGTAAACGGGGCCTAAGCCGAAGGTGAGTTCATGTTGCTTCAGTGGTTCTCTAAGAAACTGTTAAGGGCCCCAAAAAAACAGTAAAAATTACTTTGTTTGTCAGTGTTTCCCAATCCTGTTCCTAGAGGCACACCAACAGTAAATATTTTGGATGTCTCTGAATCTGATCCATTCATTTCAGGTTTTGGAGTCTCTTCTAATGTTCTGATGATTTGATTGAGGTGTGTTTGAATAGGAAGAGGTTGAAAATGTGTACTTTTGGTGTTCCTTTAGAAACAAGGTTGGGAAACACTGGCCTATTTCATACAATTTTAAGCTAATGGGCAATGTTACTTGGATGTTGATTCATTCAATCATTTTCTTTTTGGCTTAGTCCCTTTATTAATCTGGGGTCGCCACAGTGGAATGAACCGCCAACTTATCCAGGATATGTTTTACGCAGCGAATGCCCTTCCAGCTGCAACCCATTTCTGGGAAACATCCATACACACTTATTCACACTCATACACTGCGGACAATTTAGCCTACCCAATTCACCTGTACCACATGTCTTTCGACTGTGGGGGAAACCGGAGCATCCAGAGAGAACTCCCGCGAATGCAGGGAGAACATGCAAACTCCACACAGAAACGCCAACTGACCCTGCCGATGCTCAAACCAGTGACCTTCTTGCTGTGAGGCGACAGCACTACCTACTGCGCCACTGTGTCACCTGCTTGGATGTTGCACTGCCAAAATGTTATGTTTGCTTGTGGTGCACAAAATTGTTCTTGGAGTTTTGTATGATAACACTTGGTCCACTGAAGTCACATGGACTGTTTTGACAATGTTTCTGATTCCTTTTCTGGACATCAGGACCCTTGCTGTTTGTGGAGGATGAGAGATCTTAGATTTCATGTAAAATATCTTAATTTGTCTTCCAAAGATGAACAAACGACGTAGGGCTGAGTAATTATTAACAGATTTGAAAGTTTTGTGTGAACTAAAGCCTGGTTTATACTTCTGCGTCAAGTGATCGGCGTGACCCACGGCGCATACAATGTGCGTAGTCGTGCATTTATACTTCTGTGGGCTGTGTGTTCTTCTGCAATAACACTTCTGAAGCGCTAGCTGGCAGTAGGTTTTTATTTTCCTCTTTGTTGAGTTTCTTCGCTGGTGTTTTGTATTTTTCTAAACGCTACTTCAATGTACAAGTGGCTCAAACTCGATTATTTTGAGGCGGGAACTGGCAGACGTGCAACAACTTTAACCATAAGATAAACACAAAACAACAGTCTCCATCCGGAGCTCCTTCACGGGACTCGGCACTTGTAAACACTCGCTCCATCGGGCTCACACGGCTCTCACGTCCACCCAAACTCGTCAGCGCTACCAAGCCAACCAGTCACAGAGCTTGCGCTACGCATTGTTGCGATGTGTAGTTACATTTTTTGAGAGGTGCACGTCAGCGTCACCGACAGCTTGGCGAGGGCTATGCGACTACACATAGGCTGCACTGTAGCATACAAGTGCGCTTGACGGAGAAGTATAAATCAGCCTTAACCCTTTAACAAACATGCTCTATTGATCTTAATCAATTGCTTTTTCACCTAACCCATGATTCTCTATTACAGGTAATGCAGTTTGGCAGAATTGACGGCAATGCATACATCCTGGACTTTCAGTATCCATTCTCAGCAGTACAGGCATTTGCCGTAGCCTTGGCCAATGTCACTCAGAGACTTAAATAGAAATCTTGTCCATGAGAACGGATGGGCTGAAAAAGAGATTATTGTTAATCGCAGTTTGTGAGAAATGTTACACTCTCTGCTGCCATAACGTCTGTGCAATGCCGGTTAGTAGCCGAGAGATCTGGTCACTCTCAGGCAGTGCAAGTCGCACACAGGTGGTCCGACAATAGATTTAGTGCTTTAAAGTACCCTTTTGTTAACAGAGGTACAAACTGATTTCTGAATGGTGGTACACATCTGAGAGAAAACAAGTATGTGTGTATTGATGGAATATTATTCAACTTACTTATATTGTTTTTTCATGTATTTCCTTGGTATACAATGGTGTGATTTTAAATGTACTAAAAACTGAGATGGATGTTAGGTTATGGGATTTGTTTTTGTTCTTCCCTCTCTTGATAACCCACCTCCTTTTGTTTTGTTTTTGAGATATACGTGTGCCAAATTTAAATTTCCTATTTACAATGCTTGTAAAATGATGGATTTTTGATTATCGTTTGTGGTCAGTAACTCAATGAAATCTATATAAAGGAGAAGCATCAACTTATGTTTGAATATTTTCATCCCATGACTCACTTCCATGAAGTGACAGCAGAGATAATATATTCCAGTTCATTTTTCCCAATTGTGCCACTATAATGAATGCATTTCTATGGTTTAAAACTCAATTTAACATGTTTCTTCACAATATGTCTTAGTTATATTGCATTATTTGCACACTGTGTTCTTGCAGTATCTTGATATTGTCCTATTTGAATGATTTTTGCTTTTTAATCTTAACAGAAATCAAAGTTTTTTAATTACTTTCAGATATATTGTCACGTAAGTGACATGACAAAAAGTGCTGTAGTTAGATGTACTGAAAATGTACTCATATCATCCGTGACACTTTAGCACGAAATATATAGTATGCATTAAGCATTTAGCCAAAAAATGTCTTATATCAATATATAAATCAGATTTAACACACTGTATATTATGCAATGAATGAAATCTAATTGAAACTGAAAGCTGATACGATTCTGCATTCCTTTGTTAAATGCTCAACCCCAATGACATAGTTTGATTTCTATAAAGGGGCATATTTTATTATATTCAGTCATACTGGTTACATATTTATTTTTCTGTATTAATATTTAATATTCTACATACATATTTAATATTTGTTGCAATGAATCATCAAATTAATTTGTCGGTTGTTGCTTACTTTCCGGCGTTTTCCAGTAGTTTCATCAGTTTTAAGCCAAACAGTGGTTCAGAGTCGGGTAGTGTTGATATGGTTGATGTTTTAAGCACTTCTTGATTATTCTTGATGTTGTATGCTTTGATGATTTGCAGTTGCAGTTATTTCTAGCCACTTTGTACTGGGTTATTCGGGCCCGGTTTAAATTATGTGGAATGTGAGGCTTTAACTGTGCTTTATCGCTTAATTATTCTGATGTACATTTACAAAATGTAATTCAAGGGTGTCTTGGAAAAGCATTAGAATGTCTGTGCCCAGTAGGTTTTAAGTCACTAAATAAAATCTAATTAGTTTGATGAAATCTGTGTGTATTATTGTTGTTGATGTTAACTGTGACATGGTGACTCGAGTCCCTGCTGTGTCAATTGCCAGTTCTGTGTGGAGTTTTCATGTTCTCCCCGTATTGGTGTGGTTTCCTCTGGTTTCCCCCACAGTACAAAGACATGCGCTATAGGTGAATTGAATAAACTAAACCAGCCATAGTGTATGTGTGTGTATGAACGTGTATGGATATTTCCCAGTACTGGGTTGCAGCTGGAAGGGCATCCGCTCTGAAAACATGCTTGATAAGTTGGCAAATTCTTCCTCTGTGGCGACCCCTGATAAATAAGGGGGCTAAACCGAAGAAAAATGAATGAATGATAACTAATATCCCACTCTCAGATATGTATTAACACATTCAACATTGCTGAGTATTTCACAATTCACTTCCAGACAATGTTTTTTCTTTCTTTCTCGGTGTATCAATGAAGAAAAGTTAAGGGCTGAAATTATTTAATAAGAATGCGATTTTGCACATAATCTAGCACTGACCTCTAGATGACGCCCTAAATGTGGTAGAAATGTGGAAATAGAATCTCACTTATGTTAGCGAACTCGTTCGTATTAATGAACCGAATCACTAAACGACTCACTAATTGTCTGCATCATTTTGGACTTGTATGGAACAAAAGAATAAAAAAACGATTAATTTAAGATATTATCCCATTATTGCTTTTATTATTATGTTTATTATTATGTTTATTTTTACGCGTTAAAATGGAAGAATAATTCGCCTTGAAAACACTGTTTTATCTTCAACATGAATACTTGACAAAACTTAACCTCTTTCAAAATAAAACCCTATTCTGTGTGTTTTTTGATAAAGGATGCTGTCACTTGTTTCTAATATTTGTAAACAATGTTTCTCACCTCACAACTGGCAATTTTATTCCCGAAAAACAAATGAGTGAGAGAGTCGGTTTGGTTGAATCATTGTAATGAATCAGTTCAAAAGAATGATTCTTTTGAGATTCGAACATCACGGTTGAGTTTCCCAGCTGACAGTTTGAACACGCGGTAGGAGTTTACACGGCGACAATGGAAAATCATGAAGACAGAGGTATGTAAATACATTTTTTTCTATGTTGTTGCTGTCTTTTTTATCATTAGCCGCTTTTTGGCTCTTAAAATCTTTTGGTGAGTTTGCCTGTGACAACATAAGTTATAATGTATTGGAGGTAACTTATAGTTGTTTTTATATTGGCACAGTCAGACTTTTTTCCTTAATAATATAATTCAGAAAAGTATTGTTTGCTCATTTTAAATAGCGAAATCATATTAGCAGCCAATGACTATCAAAATACAACATTCTCAGTCAATTAAATAGCGCTAAAGTTTTAAAGTCATGTTTACATGGGAGTTCAAACCGAATATCCATAGTTACGTTAGCGTGATAAACAATATAGGGACTGTGTCGAAACTTGAAACTGAACGAATGTGGTAATATATAACCAACTTTACCTCACTAAGTAACCTTACACTCGAGCAGTTTACACTGTTTACTGATCAACGAATGTATGTGAACTTCATGTAGGTGATTCTTCGCCATCACAGACTACAGGCGCTAAAATGTCCAGACAACAAATACTGACAGTTATTGCAATGGCCTCCATAAACTTCGGTTCAATGATTTGCTATTCCATTCTGGGACCATTTTTCCCAAATGAGGTAAATGTATGATATTTAGTTTGGCTATACTACTTTGACAGTAAATGCATTAGTCTGTTCAAAGTTCTTAAACCTTTAAAGTCTGCTATTAGAGTGAAATATTCTTGCATTTTCATATGATGATATTACTTTATTTTTCTAGGCAAAGAAGAAAGGTGTCAGTCAAGCTATGATTGGTTTAATATTCGGCATTTATGCATTATGCACTTTGGTGGGCTCTTTGATACTTGGTAAATATGTAAGTTAATCATTATTTGAGAAGATAAAAATGCTCAGCTTTCCATAATGTATTGTCCGCTTTATCAACACTTGACCTCTGTTTCAGATTGTCCAGATAGGAGCCAAGTTTATGATTGTGGCAGGGCTTTTCTTGTCGAGTGGGTGTACTGTACTCTTCGGGTTAGTATATTTGTGTTGTCTATTAGCTTCTAGGGTCATTTATGTGCTAAATTATAGCTAAATGTTAATACAAGTTTATTTTTGGTGGATGAGACTAGGGCTGCACGATATTGAAAAAATCTGACATTGCTATATTTTATTTTGCTGCGATTTTTATTGAGATATCAATACAATTCTGGCAGATGACTTGAATAGCTCTATTTGGGGAAACAATATATTAACTCTGATTGGAATAATCTTGCTAATGTAATGTAAAATGTAAACACTGTACACATTGCTGATCAACAATAATAATCCCAACTCTACATTGTAGATACGGCGATGTGATTATTGTGAATGCACACATTGCGATATCGATGCTGAAATGATATATTGTGCAGCCCTAGATGAGACCATGGATGAGAAATATTGGTGACTATTAAACTTATGAGACAGATGTTTTAGTATTTCATCAATAATGAAATCATTTGTTTTGCAGGTTTCTTGACAGAGTGTCTGACGGGACAGTATTCATTGCTCTCTGTTTTATCACACGCTCCATCAATGCAGTTGGATTTTCCGCCGCCATTACATCATCTTTTGCTGTTTCAGCAAAGATTTTCCCCGACAACATAGCAACTGTTTTGGTGAGCTGTGGTCAGTTGTTGTTTTTCAATGCAGTAATGCTGTTTTGGAGTAAGCTGACAAAGGAAGGCTTATTACACGTCACAAAAGATGTGCTGTCTCTCAAGAGAATCGTCTTTAGATTCAGTTATTCAGTCTGTCTGGATATTTAGTTTCTCACGGTTGAGGCAAATGCACTGTGATTGAGTTTTAACAACAAGAGATGCTCACATTTATCGGCCGCTGATGTTTGTTGGCTGATTTTTAAGCTATGTCTAATAATGTGAAAAGAGCAGATATAGATGGTTTATTAATTCAATTCAGTTCATCTTTATTTCTATAACACTTTTACCATGTAGATTTTGTCAAAGCAACTTAACGTAGGAGATTATAGTAAATTTAAACCACGTCAGTCCAGTTTTCAGAGTTGAAATTCAGTTTAGTTCAGTTCAGTGTGGTTTAATTTTCACCACTAAAAGTACAAACACTGAAGAGCAAATCCATCGATGTGCAGCTCCACAAACCGAGCAAGCCAGTGGCAACAGTAGCGAGGAACAAAATTTGGAGACAATGAGTTGCACATATTTTGAACAATCCAACGTTTTTCCTCAGATCAAAAAAATTAAATATATGAAAATATAACCACAAATTAGGGCCGCACGATATTGGAAAAATTGGATTTTGCGATGTGTTTAGTTTTTCTGTGATATGAATACAATTTCACCAGATAGCTTGTAAATAGCTTTATTTGGAAATAAATCATTCATTTAGATTGATTGATTGATTTTTGTAAGGGTGTGAATCGCGTATATAAAAACAAAAACAAAGTGCAAGCAAGAAAAATTACAATAGAGCAAAGAAAAAAGTAAAATAAACATTGCTTTATGCTTTTCCAGAAAGTCAAACAGTATTTAGGGACAGAAATTAAATAGTGAAATGTAAAATAACACTGTCTTTGTTGTATTATTAATTCAGTAAAATTATTCTTCATTAAAGTTACAAATGTACTTTTTTGTGGCTGAATGCTTTAAACTCTCTTCAGATGTCTTTAAAACACATGCAATTTAAAAAAAAATCCTGGTTGCCTTAAATTTTTAAGCTGAATCAAATTAACCTAATGAGTCCATTGAACTTCTATTTTGTTAAACTGACTTAAAACAGCTTGCATAACTTAAATTAAGTTAGAACATGATTAACTTGGTTTAATAAGTTACAATAACCTAAAAACATAAGCTGTCAGGACTAATTGATCATATAATATTTTACAGTGTGCCGATGATAACGGTTCACTCTGTTATGGTTATATTTTGCAATGACTCCAAAAATATCATGTATTCTTAATTGTTTTGCTGTTCAATTTAAACTCAACATTGCATATTCTGCGATGTGACTATTGCGTACACACACATTTCGATATCGATGGTGAAGTGATATATTGTGCAGCCTTATTACTAATATAATACTATTAAAACTAAATATAATCTGTACAAAATATCAGGCCTGAGTTGATATGTACAAAATAGCAAATTTAATCCTTATTCATTCAAATTTATTGCAAGAAAAAAATAGCTTGTGCTGTATGCAATTGAATTCATCAATATCATTGCTGGAATCGGTCAAAAGGTTTTTTTTGGATTTGGCCAAAACAAGTCCTACTGGTTAGGGCTAGACATGGCACAATAACAGTTTTTAATGTTTACCTCGGTTTGAAAAAGTAAAGTTTTTAAAACTGCCAAAATTTTCTGCTATACCGTTCCTACAATATATGTAGTTTTTTTTTACGTTTTGTTTTAAGTTTTTTAAGACAACAGTATCTTCAGCAGAAAACATTTACAATATGTTTTTTAAATTGTAATGAAATTTGTGTTTTGGAACCTAATGAAGAAATCAAAAGTCAATAATTCATTTGACCTGACATGTTTACTGTTCCAAAATATTTTTAAAGTTTCTTAAAATAAAATATATTGTGTTTAAAGGGAAAAAAAGTTTTTGTTTTTTACCCAGACATTTAAAAATAATATATTTTACAGCAGTAATCACAATACCGTGAAACCGTGATATTTTGTCCAAGGTTATTATATCGTCAGAATCTTATACCTGCCCATGCCTAGTTAGGGCTGCACGATATTGGAAAAAATCTGAGATTTTTCTGCGGTAAATATTGTGAAATGAATACAGTTTCATAAGATGCACTATTTGATGGTTTTCCGGGGAGTCTTCCAGTATTCAGGTACAGAAATTTAATCACAATTCAAAAATGTTTTTCCTACGTTGTTTTGTCTCGTTTCTAGTCCAAATATCAAAAAAAAT